CAAATGAAAAATGGTGTGTCTGATTGGTCCAGACGCTACATTCACGAGCTTGCGATTTTGCATTCATTCATATGATTTGATTTGCACAAAAACAATTTTTTTAGATTAAAAAAAAGTAAGGTCCACCCTTAATTAACTGTCTGTAAGCAAGTTGTATGAAAACAAATATATATGATTCAGTGCTAATTTGAATTCATACTAATTAGTCCCTAATTTACCAAAACATAAAATATTTAAGGACAGTGTGTTGGTTTCTCGGACATGATTAAACAAAAAAATAACTGATGCTTCTATCCTCATTCTTTTGTCCAGATTTGTTCTTTTATTAAAAAATATATGAACAAATTAATACATACAATGACTTGAATAGATTTAACAGCCTAACATAGAAAAAAAAAATGCACATAAGGCCCTTTCAAAACAAACCAGCAGCCTAGATTTTGATCGCAGCCCAGCATTTGAAAACCACTGCATTACAGGCGAGTTATGAAGTCTAAATTCTCTGTTTGTGCTGATTATTGTACTTAGATGCTGTGCTGAGAAACACAAGGGAAGGCAAAGACCTCATGATGATCTATGATCTAACACCTCACTCCACTCATTTATACAGATCAGAGATTTACATCACAATCCTGTGACCCAGTGATTAATCAATAACATTGAAAACTCAGGAAAAGATCTCATCTCAGAGAAACAGAAATGCACAGCTGCTTAATGAATCAACTGTATTATTGTCATGCTGACCCTGGATTGTCCTCTGACTCAACAGCTTTACTGTATATGTTGTTCATACAAATGCATGTGATTCTTGATATTAAACATTCTTGAGAAAAAAATGCATAATCTGCATAATTACTCAATTTGCTAAATTCAAATACTTACCATATTTACCATGGTGAAACCAGTACATTATTTCATTAAGTCTGGGTATTAATTTGATAAGTGAATTTGGCTGGAAGAAAAATAAAATGCATTTTTATTTATTTATTCATTTATTACTTTTCAGCAACTACATAAATTCAATGTCTGTAGTCATCATTTCACATTGTTAACTGTAACATGCATGCGGGCTTTGCACAATATAAAAACTTTAAAACAGCGCTTCTGGTCCCAGATTTTACATCAGCTGCTGCAACCTCACGAGAAATCTGAACTACTTCACGAGCTTGCGATTTTGCATTCATTCATATGATTTGATTTGCACAAAAACAATTTTTTTAGATTAAAAAAAAGTAAGGTCCACCCTTAATTAACTGTCTGTAAGCAAGTTGTATGAAAACAAATATATATGATTCAGTGCTAATTTGAATTCATACTAATTAGTCCCTAATTTACCAAAACATAAAATATTTAAGGACAGTGTGTTGGTTTCTCGGACATGATTAAACAAAAAAATAACTGATGCTTCTATCCTCATTCTTTTGTCCAGATTTGTTCTTTTATTAAAAAATATATGAACAAATTAATACATACAATGACTTGAATAGATTTAACAGCCTAACATAGAAAAAAAAAATGCACATAAGGCCCTTTCAAAACAAACCAGCAGCCTAGATTTTGATCGCAGCCCAGCATTTGAAAACCACTGCATTACAGGCGAGTTATGAAGTCTAAATTCTCTGTTTGTGCTGATTATTGTACTTAGATGCTGTGCTGAGAAACACAAGGGAAGGCAAAGACCTCATGATGATCTATGATCTAACACCTCACTCCACTCATTTATACAGATCAGAGATTTACATCACAATCCTGTGACCCAGTGATTAATCAATAACATTGAAAACTCAGGAAAAGATCTCATCTCAGAGAAACAGAAATGCACAGCTGCTTAATGAATCAACTGTATTATTGTCATGCTGACCCTGGATTGTCCTCTGACTCAACAGCTTTACTGTATATGTTGTTCATACAAATGCATGTGATTCTTGATATTAAACATTCTTGAGAAAAAAATGCATAATCTGCATAATTACTCAATTTGCTAAATTCAAATACTTACCATATTTACCATGGTGAAACCAGTACATTATTTCATTAAGTCTGGGTATTAATTTGATAAGTGAATTTGGCTGGAAGAAAAATAAAATGCATTTTTATTTATTTATTTATTCATTTATTTCACACTATTACACAGTTAAATATATCAAATAATATGACTGTTCATTATCCTGTTAATGCAAGTCATGTGGACACATATAAAACATAAATAGCGCTGTTTACTGAGAAAAGTTGGGTTATACTTTATTTTAAGGTGTCCTTGTTACAGTGTAATTATACATTTAAGTACTGAGTAATATTAATTAATTACATGTACTTACTATTATAATAACAATTAATTATGCATAATTAATTGTTATTATAATAGTAAGTACATGTAATTAATTAATATTACTCAGTACTTAAATGTATAATTACACTGTAACAAGGACACCTTAAAATAAAGTGTTACCAAAAGTTGTGACTTTTTGTGAGGTTTTACTCTAAAGAATAACATGTCTTTAAAAATCTAGTAGATACATTTAAGATCAAGAAGAACAAAAGAGAAACAAATTTTCACAACAGAAAAAAGTTCCTCAGGTGATGCCAACCCGGAAACAGCATAAACTACCAAATTTTGCTCAATAGTTGTAAACGGTTACTTGCATTGGCTTTGTTGCTGAACAAGAGTCCTGATGCGGGAGACACGGCGGTTCTTGATGAGTTCTTTAGGAGTGAGCTGGAGGTCTTGGTTCTTCTGAAGATAGGAAAGTCCACAGCGGATTGACGAAGTTACTTGAAGAAAACAAACCGCCGGAAAATCAAACTCAAGAGGAGAGTTTTGAGGAGTCTTGGATAGTGTCCGTCTCAAGAAGAAAAGTTTTGAGCAAAGATTAGTCTGAGCTAATGACTTTTGATAGCCAATACCAGGCGTGAATTTTTGAGCGGGAGAAGTTTTCTTTGTCTCCCTTTATGGCCCATTTGCATGTTTATGGCTGGTGTGGAGGACTGGTGCAGTTTTACCCAAAATATAGTACAAATAGTATGATGCATTTCACAATCACATACTGTACATCATTGTTTGAGCAATAAAGAGCAGATCATTTTGATACCAAGAAAGAAACATCTAGAGGATATTAAACCAGAGATACATTCATACACCTGAATATAAGCATTTAGATCTTAACTAATACAAATAACGAGTGGTAACTAGGCTAATATAATAGGGAGACATACAGACAACACATGCATATACCAGATACATTTGTAACTGATTGATTATAGTCTAAATAAAGAAAATGTCTTTATGTGTGTGTGTTATGTGAGCGTGGTGAAACTGTTTAGCATCTCCTTGATAGGGAGCCATTGCATTGGCAATTTAGCACCCATATAAAAGTAGAATGTGGGGCCATGTCTGTAATTTATATGCAAATGTCAAAAGGCTAAAAGGGGTCTCTAAGACATAAAGCCCCCATGATCATCCATGATTTTAAGCAGATGCTACAGTACATCAATTTGACATAGTCACCACTGACAAACTACTACTAAATATATTGTAGAAACCTGTAAAGCTGCTTTGCATCGATCTGTGTCGTGAAAAGCGCTATACAAATAAACTTGAATTGAATTGAAAAAAGGCTTTATAGTCAACAATCTTTCTCTCCCACGTAATGACGTAACCTTAAGAATACAGAACAGAGCTAAAAAGATCATTGCTGACATTAAATACAGCTAAATCTATTGCCATCCAGTGCTGTGCACAGTATTTTAGAGATCACAGAGCATTGATGAACCTGTTCATTCTTAACCCGTTCAATCTAAACTCATCTGCATGCTAAAACTGAAAGTTTCTCCCCCGAGCGTTATTTTGACAGGTTAATACTCTCAGACATTATTAAGACATGGAATTGCTCACGTATATGCTGCACCCAAGCAACCTGTCTGGAATAAAAGGATACTATTCCAAATAATAATACATACTTAAGAATATTCAGAATATTCATTATTATTTATCTTATTGAAGATAAGAATATTTAAAATTACAGTTAAGTTACAATATTGAAGCTTATAATTGTTTTCTGAAAACATAAATAGTCTAAGACAAACAAGCAAGCTACAACAGAATTCCCTAACTTTCCATGGCTTCCCAATTATTATTTTTTTAATGTTTGTGATTGCTGAATAATGATTTTTTTAAAACAAATCATTTTACAGTTGAGCATAGCTACAAAAAATTATATTCCAGACCTGGAAGTCACCATATTAAAATTGCCTGGTATTTCTAGGTTGTTCATGACCATGTTGCAAATACATTTAAAATCACGAAACCTGGTCTCAATCAACAGTCAAATGATGAGCTGCTGCCTCTGCTGGTATCAACCAATAAAAATAAACACTGTGTGCAGTACTAAAAGATAATCTACCTTTCCTATTTTTTCCAATGTATAATGTATACAGCTCATTGCTTTTCTAAGATTAGCATGCATAGTCTCTGAACCACATGAAGACATCAGTCTTACCACTGAGATGGAAAACAAGTGGGCAAAGGCCATACCCACACTAATAAATGCACAAAGACACAGATTCACAGTACATGACACTAGAAAGACAAATATATGCATACTCCAATGCAGAACATTGTCTGCTGAATGCACACATGTGGATAAAGGATGTACACATTGATAAAAGGGACAGAGCGTGCATGAAGAAAACAACACGTGCAAACACACACACACACACAATGTTGATGTTTTTACACCTTTGACTTTTGGCTATGTTTGAACTGTCATAATGTTTAGGACATTTAGATAATCCCATTTGCTTTTATGGTTCTCAATTGCTCCTCTCCCAAACCCAAGAAAATATTTGTATTTCATTTAGCCAAATTTTAAGATAATTTTGCCTAATTGGATGGAGCGATAACCAGTGTGCATGAGGTGATGACCCAATGACGGGTAAGATTCTCCAGTGGCCAGAGGAGGACAACCTAAGGCAGGGCTTCACCACTGGGCACCTGCCAGGAACGGAGGTGTAATCTGTGTAACGAGAGTGACTGTGATGCTTCTTTTGGGCCAAGAGCATCAAAGTGGGGGGGGACTGGAAGAAACTATAGTCTGTCCCGACCCAGATTCCACTCCACAATAGATGTTTGATCTTGCTCACTTCCCAAAATGGCTTAATTATTATAGAAAGAAGAAAGTCAACCGTTATGTTGTTTCTAGATCATTTGGGATGATCACATGCTGAGCAAATAGTGACCAATTGTAGAATGGGAGCGGGTGTGGGACACCGAGAACCATCTCAGACAATTAGGAGTCGGAACTTCATTAACATACAGAGCACAGCTGTTACAACAGGAGCAACTTCATTTACATTAAGGGTAGTAAACTATAACTGTATAAAAGGTTTGAGCTTAGGATGTTCGGGGTTCATTCCGACTCCGTTGAACCCAAGGTACTACATGTACTTTGTCTTTGCTATGTTGTAATAAACATCTTCATCGAGATCTTCAATGTCCTGATCATTTTTTCTTACAGTAGGTCCACTTACACGGTCTACAATGAATAACAGAGAAAGGAATAAGACATTTGTTTTAACTGAATTTGCTCTGCAAATATCCCAGTGAAATGTAAGATAGATTTGATTATTTATAAAATACCTACTGCCTTAGTAAATGATCAAAAAATTACCTTCTGTAACATAATTAGTTACCTGTGCTTATGTTTTTGTTAATTGTGGCATCAAGAGAATCATAAATATGAGCAGTTCCTGTAATAAATTAATGCATATTATGAATTTAAGCCCACAGAAAAATATTATTTTTATGTTGACACTGACTTAAAGCTAAATATGTCATGTGCTATTAACATTCTAAATTACATGTGAAATATTTTGTTATGCATTATTGATAATTAAATTACATCAAATTGAAAAATAAATGTCAGTTACACAAATATCATATTATGCTTTGGAAGAGCGGACAATTATTTAATAATCTCAGCTTGTAAAGATGTATGGTAAAATATTTATGGTTAATGGGTAAAGACTCACCAGACATGAGTGCTGTATATACTGCTTCACTCTGGTTCTGCTCTGATGTCTGACTGCTGTTCTGCTGTTGACTGACACTGGAGGGAGACTGAGATCTTCCACCTAGTCAACCAGAAAATGTTCAGGAAAATATTTTGAGGAAAGAAGGGGGTCAAAAAATGACTTTAATCTCCTTTAAAGGTAAACTATTATGCAAAAATCACTTTTAGAAGGTGTTTGAACACAGTTGTGTGGCCGCAATGTTTTTAAGCAAAGAGGGCTTAATAAAAGAATGGCAGAGAGGGTGGGAAAAGGAAATTAAGGGTAGACACTATTTGTCTATACAACCAAACAGTAGAAACAGAAGGGCATGTTTTCCTGGAATGCAGAAAGTATAATGTAGAAAGAAAAGCACTTTTTGTTAAATTGGCAGGAATTGGATTTAAAGTGGTTTCTGTTACTTCTTTGTTTGGTCATAGTGACAAGCATAAACTGATCTCTGAGGCAGTTCTTCAGTTCTTGCATAATACAGGACTGTATATAAGAATTTAGTTAAAACTTTGACCTTTGGAGGGCAGTAATACGCTTAGTAGCGTCTACACTGCCGGAAAGCTACAAGAAGAAGAAGAAGCAGCAGTCCGCCATTACTGTTTTCTTGCTGTATCTGCTGGAGATACAATGTCAGCGCCAAAGAGGCATTACAAGTGTCGTGAGTTGGGATGCACCAACGAACATAGGAGTCTCCATAGACACCCTTCATCTGAGCCGCTGAGGACACAGTGTTTACATTTAATTTTCGAAGGAAATGTCCCGGAAAAGAAAAACGCTAAAGTCCTATATGTTTGTGCCAATCATTTTTCGTCGGACTGCCTCACAAACGAGGGTCAGTTCAGAGCTGGAGTTGTGCAAAGATTGCTTCTGAAAGAGGGATCAATTAGCTAAAGCTACCATTGTCTCTGCCTGTTTTCACCGATGCTGCCTTCATGTGCTACCAGAATGATCGTAAATAAGAATGTAATTGTTAAAAATTGCATATGAAAGCGATGTGAATTTGCTTGAATTTGTCGAGCTCATAATCACAAGTGGGACTTATAAGTTTGTGACAGCACGCCAAGGCACCATGAGACCAGCTGGGCTGTTATTTTTATCGTGCCGTGCTCCCCATCCGTGTAATTCATAAACGCGCATTTACTATGCATAGTACAATCAGATGACTGACTATTAAACCAAGTACGTTTTCTGTAAAGATATCAGGCTTGTACTAATAGTGGAATGTTTATTGCAAGGGCCAGCATTGGTATGCCAGGTGTCCTGACATTTCATCCTACCCGTCAGATTGTCCTACCAGGGCTTACCATGTGCACATCAATATTGCGTCAGTTTTCTCACGCTGAACACATAATTACTGTATGTGCATTACTGTAGGGGTAGGTGTAGGCGTTAATAAAGCATAATCTGATGGGTAGCATTTTTTGTTGTCGCATTGTGTTACCTACTGTTTCAATGGGAGGTAGTAAAATCTGACAGGGTAGCACAAATCGTCAGAACAGGATATTGAAGCTCCGCCCTCTTCTGAAAAGGGAGGCGGGAGCACCAGCTCATTTGCATTTAAAGGTACAAACACAAAAACGGCAAGGTTTGGCTCATACCCTAAAAGTGGCCATTTCAACAAGCTATAAAAATGATCTGTGAGGTATTCTGAGCTAAAACTTCACATACACACTCTGGGGACATCAGAGACTTATTT